ATGGCTTGAGCTTAGAGAATTTTAGAGTTGAAGTTTCTGAAATTTTTAGAGTTTAAATTAGGGCCAGAGAAATTCTCACTGATCTTTGATTTTCAGCCTTAGTTATTTACATGGTTAGAATCGTGAGGAAGAATGCAACAACTTTCATTTTGTCACTTTCCATTTTTGTTGAGAAATGAAGAAGTTACAGGTACACCGACTGGAGGTTGAAGATGAAGTCATCAGGACTGAGTTTGCTTTATATATTTATGGTTTTGCCTATATAAACGGGTGTATAGCCACCCCAGTGGTAAAGCACACGCCTGTTCACCCTATGGTCCTGGGTTCAAGCCCCGGCGAGACCATTTTGACATTTTTTCTAATTTTTGACATTTTTTTTATTTCTGTTTGCAGGCGTTGGGCCCTTTGGGCCTGGCATTTTTTTTTTGCTAACATCCCCCCTGTTTACTTGTGATACCACTCTGACCCATTTTATTTTTATTTATTTATTTATTTCTTTTTTTCTTTAAATATATTTTCTAAAATACAAAAAAATCATAAAATGTATAAAAATAATAGATTTATATTTTGACATAATTTAAATATTTTTTCTACATAAAAATTATTTTATTTATCACACTTTATTTACTTTTATTAATTTCCTTGTTAATATTAATTAAAACTAAAATATTATTTATTTTTATACTAATGAAAATATTTTTTTAATATCAAAAAGACCAAAGAATATTTTATAACACCATATTATTTTCAAGACAAAAAAATATAAAATATCTTTTTTATAAACTTCATTTTTTTTAAAAATAAAATTAGGGTTTGATTTAAGAATCTTTTTCTTAAAGATATTAAAATTGACTAATTATTTTCTTTATCAAATTAGGTTAAATCAAGACCCATTTTCTTAAGAAACCAAAAACAAAATCTTTTCTTTGTATTTACATTTCTTGCATATTTATTTCATCTTGCATATTATTTGTTTCAATTATTTATACAATATTCAATTTGGTTGTAATAGATTAATTAGGTTTATATTATTGCAATCCCCATTCACAAATTGTATACCCCCTCCCACAAATGTTGTAATAGCGTAGTAACTTTAAATTATGCAATTTATCGCTTTTTACATAACATGCTAGTAATTAGGGTTTGTATGGGAAGAATAAAATCAACCAAATAGAAAACCCTAATTCAAGACAAAAAAAAGCATGAAAATGACACACTTGCACACAAGCACCCCTAGGGTTATCCCACTTGGTTGCCTTACAAAAATGGCCATATTGCGCATGTAAGGTATCTTAGCAAAAACAAACAAATACAAGATCACAGTCCCTCGATGACGCTATTCAAAGTTGCCTTACAAAATGATCTTAGTCCCTCAAATAATGCTAAGATACCTTGAAACATTTCTAATCATGGCTATACGATGACCCACGCCCGTCCCGTTTACATCCAAAGATAGGATTGCTTACCAAATTAATGGTAAGGCAACAATGTTAAAGGAAAAGAAAAATGAACAAGAAAGATATTTGAGTAGGTAGATTTCTCCCATTTACTTGATCCATTTCAAAATAAACATCCTTGCTATTTTCAAAACAATCACATACACTTTCAAAACATCTTACAAAATTGAAAACATTTTCAAAAAGATCAACATCTTTGTATACATTCTTACGAATGAGAATCATTACAAAGATTGCCTAAACAATGGTCTCTTTACAAAATACTTTCAACAAAACCACACAAAGCACACTTTTAAATAAAAGCAAGTGATCTAGCAAGTAACTAAGAGCCCACGGAAAACCATGGATGAAAAGGGTGTTAATACCTTCCCTTTACATAATCTATCCCCTGAACTCAAGAAACAATCTCAAAGGTCTTTCCTGTGCTTTTTCACCTTTCCTTTTGGATAAAAGAAAAGTCAGCGGTGACTCTTGCTAACCGCAACATTTGCGATCAAACGCAAAAACCTCAAGTCAGTTCTCCCACCGCATCATAGTGTTCATCAAGAAATGACTTGTAATTCAAGAATGAAACCCTAACTTCTTGCCTTCGATTATCCTTGCTCAAATATAGTCTCAATGAGTTCTTAGACATTTTTGAAAGCTTGTAACATCCTCTACAACCTCTATGTTGGAAATTTTTTAAAATTCATCATGGAACTATGTGAAAAATTTCCATGAAGTCAGGTCAAAATTCTGCCTAAACTAGGGCAAAATTTCACTAAGTTTCCAAGTTTCATGAACATGTATTCACAAAATCATAACTTGAAATCCATGCATTTATAGGAGAAGTTGTGTTCTACAATGTTTTAGAATTCATTGATATCTACAACTTTTACGTTGGAAGTTTCCTTTGAATCATCTTGCTTCATGGTGAAAAATTGGCTCAAAGTTGTGAAAAAATATGAAATTTCAACACTTGGAAAAAATTTTAAGTTTAGAAATTTTGACTTTTCAAAATGAAATCTTGACTTTTCTGATTTTTTGATGAACAAGTTTCATATTTTGACATGTTTTGATTAATTATGATCTTTGACAATTGATTTTAATTAAAAAGTCAAAGTTTGACTTTTCAGTGTACAGTTGACTTTTCATCAATTGACTGAAATTCAACTGTCAACCAATTGAACTTGAGGAATATTTTGAGCCATGTCATTAGGTCAAAATGATACATTTGAATCCTTGAGATCATACCTTAAATCAATCAAACATTTGCTAGGTCAAAAATCAGAAATTGCACCTTCTTAGTCAAAACCCTAATTTTGACCATTTTGCCCTTTTGATGATCTGATCAAATTTCTTGTGGAATTATGATCCAAACTTGATCAAATGACATATATGAATTCACAATGTTGGTATGGATAAAAAATTATGAAGTTTGACTGTAAATTGACCACAGTTGACTTTTTCCCCAATATAGCTGATTTTAGGTCAACTGATCAATTGACTGAGCAAAAATGTAATCCAAAACTTGAAACTTGACATGAGCAATATCGAGAGCCCAAAATGATCCATGAAAGTCAAATGGGGCATTAAAAGTCCATTTGTCCTTGTGCAATCCCAAATCCTGATTTTTAGTCATCAGTGCTTAAGGAGGTGTCTTTGAGCTGATCAACCCTAGTGCAGTCTTGAACCAAAGGAGATCTTGCGAGAGATTACTTGAGAAATGAGAGGGCAAATTTTGGGGTACAACACCATCATTAAAAAAAATCATTTTCTTCAAACAAGTGTTTGTAAACCGCCCATGTAAGAGAAAACCTTGGAAGACATGAGAGGGTAAATTTTGGGGTACAACAACTACCATACTCCATCATTAGGCAACCCCTTATAGAGTTAGAAGCCTCTCTTACCTTAGATTGGTGACCGTTCTTGATTCCTATGGGGAAACTTCTTGCCCTAGCCTCCTACTGCTCTTTCTCCTCTTCTCACTTCTACGCTTCTTCTCTATTTTTACTATTCCTCTCAAATTCTCTATTTCCATTCTATTATATTTCCGCAATAACCTTAGTGTTCCCAATTAATTAATCATTTAATTATTATCATAAAATACTAATAATCCTAATATTATAATAAAATAATAATAGTAACCTATATTATTTCACACACCCCTATAATTCTACACTTTTAGCCATACACCCCTATACTCTCAACTTCAATAATTCTAAGGCATCTAGTTCCCAACAAAGGCATCACCCCATATCATAAAATCCACTAATTCATAAAAATACACCACATCATTTAATTATTTAATTAAAATAATTCTAAATAAATCAGGGTGTTACATAATGTATTTTTTTGTAGTGTTGTATTAAGTAAAATGTTTAATCTTGTTATTATTGTTGAGATTTAATGTTTAACAATTCTATTGATTTTGTTTATTTGTTGTTGGGGTTGTTGTTGTTATTGAGATATATTGTTTAACGATTGTATTGATTTTATTGTTTTAGTTGTTCTTGAGATTTAGTGCTTAACAATTCTATTATGTTTGTTGTTGTTGTTGGTAAGGAAAATTCAAAATTAGTAAACAAATTTAATGTTTTGCATATTGAAACGAAAATAATAAATTAAAATTAAGTGACACACTTTTAATTTTGAAAATCTAAAAAATAATGTTTTTGGCAATCAAACACATGATGAGTTCCACTTTTTCTCTCGATTGAAAGTTCAACTGAGAGGACTTTCAACTGAAGAGAAAAGTGAAGTATTTTTCATGACACTCTTCTTTACTTCTTCCACCAAATAAGGTAAAACCATTTTTCAATCAAAATTAAATCAATTATTCGTAGTAATGTTGAGTTTATGATGGAATTCAACAAAACCACCCTGCCACCTATATTTACAAATCTATTCCTCCAAAAAAAACTAATCTCTTAAAAACTAGATAAAACAAGAGAATCTCAATTCCCTTCGTTCGCACTGACCAGGATACTTAAATACTTAAAAGGAAGGAAACCAATCTTAGAGTATAAAATATCTTTTACCAAATTCAAATTCAGGAATCTAGGAAAGACCTACCCACATCCACACCAAACAAGCAGCCCTTTGCCAAATTCAAATTCAGGAATTTAGGAAAGACCTACCCATATCCACACCAAACAAGCAGCTCTTGACAAACAACAAACTTTTGTCTTTATGTTTGGGATAGTGTTTTGGGTACTGGAAGACACCAAAATCATTTAAAGCTTTCAAAAAATCGAATGCTTCCAAGTAGGTTTCCATTCTCACGACCAAAGCTCATAGGCTTTCCCCATCAAATGTTTGAAATGAAGCTTTGTGAAAAAGCTTACTTTGGTGGAGGCATTGAATGTTTCTTTTTAGCATAAAATGGACATAGCTTCCAGTGAAAGATTATATATGGCAGTAGAGCCATTCAATAGTGTACAACACATTAAATACAAAATACGCTAACTTACAAACAATTATATCGGGTGGGTTTACACTGGTTCTGAATCTCAGTAAAGTAACAAACACAAGCTCTTTGGTATATACATATACATTGATATACTAGAATGATGATAGAAATGGCAACAATAATTCCCGTTGTTGAGCACTCAGAGACAGTAAAATTGTCTCAAACGTATTAGAAGGAATGTTCTGCGCGAGCTGTCTCAGCAAACTTTTCATCTGGGTGATTGTTTCTTCTGTAGCCAATTTGTCACCCTTTTCAATAACCTGAATTTCAAATTAAAAATATATAGCAATTATAAAGGAGAATACAAGTTATCAATATTCATTGAAATAAATGAAAATTTATATGCCATAAGATATCAGCACATTGTAAACCTAATAAAATGAATACAAATATCAAAGTAAATCTCAATGATAACATATCCCATTGATAGTTGCCATTGTCAAGTATTAAAGCATCTCTAAACTGACAAGAAAAAATACAAAGAAAAAATACAAAGAAAAACAATAACTCACTTCAAGAAACACGGCAATAATCTTAGTAAGATTTTGATTACCAGCTCCTAAAAGAGCCGTATCTAATCTGAAAAACAATAAAGCATTATGTTAATAAACCTTCTATACTGGAAATTCAATAATTTAAAAACTTCTTTCGAACTTCCTTACCTTGCAACCATCGAACAGAGCTGTTCATGCATAATTTTGGCTTCAGCCAAATCATCTTTAAGTGGCAAGAAACTTAACCAGGCAGGAACAGCCTGCGAGAATGTAATGAGTAAAATTTGTTTTCAGTAGTCAACAACAGGAAAGTTTATTATACAACTTGATAAAATTTAGATAGACAGTGGAAAGTGGAAAAATTTAATATAAAGATTCTTAGAAGCTTAACTGCAATTTAAAACCATGGCGAAATCTACATAGAACAAGAAGATCTATACACTAGTAGGCATTAGAAGGAAAATGTTACCGTGGTGACATCAATGCTATCACGATGGAATTCACAAATTCTTCCTAGAGCAGAAACAGCAACATCACTTGTTGCGTTCTCTGAATTCGATGCATTGCGATCTTTCAATAAATTACTGAGTGCTGACAATATCACTGAAAAACACAAAAAAGAAATAGGTTTTATTAACAAGTTATTGATAACACAATGGAAGAGTAATTACAGAAAAAACATCATACTATTGATAAAAGGCTTGAAATTTGGTGTTCCAAACTCGGCACAAATTCTAATTCCCCTTGCTGCTTCCTGAAAAGGCGGCAAAATAAGTAAATTAGTATACATGCAAAAATTGCATTAAGAATGAAACCAAGCGGAAAAAAAAATGATAAACCTCCTTGATTTCAGAATTTTTATCGGTGCATGCTTCCAGTAATATAGGAAGGTAATTCGCAAAATACCTACCAAAAGAGAAAATCGAAACATTTAATGTATTATCATCAACTAATATGACATTGATGAAAATGTTATTGAAGATACAAGAAGAAGGAAGCGGAAGATAAAAAAGGCTACTTGTGAGCTACTTCATGACAACGTTGTGAAACTATGTTAAAAGCTGACAAAACAATCCTTCTTTGCTTAGCATTTCCTTTATCCTGATAGAAGAAAGCGGGAAATACTATTATGAACCTTAATGGCAAGTTTAGAAACAAAACATTGCAAAGATGGTGGAAAATGCGGCTAATGCAGCAGCAAAACCACTGTAATTGCGATTGTGCACTACTATTTACTACAATGATATTAATAATATTCCTACCAAGTTAGTATGATAAATTATATATTAGGTGATTTTCCCCGGATAATGAAATCCAACATATTGAAAGACAATAACTTTACCTGAATTGATGATAACATTTTGTTCATTAGATTATCCGCATTCTGGTATAATAATAAGCTTTCTGGAAGAGTGTTCTTCAGAAAGTATAACATTGCTGAGGCAGCTTGTTCCTAGAAAAGAAACATGCAAAAAAATCGTCAAATGAAGCTATAGCACTTTTGTGTAACATAATTTAAACAAACTGTTATTTTCCACAATCTGCTATTAAAAATAATGATTCAAAGCAAAGCCATCAGAAAATAAAAATCTTTAATCCCTCCTATGCTATATATTTTTTAGAAAAAAACTTCTTAGTAAGTTACACCCTTAGCAAATTTGAAGTTATAACTTTCAAGAAATCCGTGGAAATCCATAACTACATTGTAATACAAACAATTAAAAATTGCCCTATACCAAAGAAAAAACAAAAGAAAATTGCTGCACTAAGATTAAATAGATTTTCCATCATGTGTGTTGTTGGGGTTAGGGTGATAATTTTGTATTTATATAATTTTACAATGATTAAAACTTAATGAAATTAGTTATTTTGTTGGTTGAAAATTTTAAAAATCAAAAGAAAATTTGTATTTCCAAAATAGAAAAACATTACAAGGAAATTGTGGTTGTGACATTATTGTTGTGGGCAACTTCCGCCACAACATCAAACCACAGTTGTGGTGCGATATTCAATCATGTATACCAATAATTGTAATTGCGGCATTAATCTGCACAATCCTGTTTGTAAAACTTTCTTTAAAAAAATTTAAATTTCAAACCCTCCAAAACCCTAATCTACTTGAGATATTGGAAGAAAATTTTGATCTTTTCAAGTTTTTAAAATTGCATGTCCAGCACGTCTCAATGTATACTTGTGGTGTAAAGTAATATATTTCTATAGTTAGCAAAAGTAAACTTATTTCAGTCTGCAATGATTATAATGAGTGTTACAACCTTAGGCACGAATGCAATTTTGTGACTGTGGCCGCAATTTAAAACCATAGACAAAATAAAAGAGTCAAAGACAAAGTAAACAAAGCATATATTTTGGAAGTGAAGCAGCAATATATGGATAATACAAGCTCTAGATTAAAGGGAAAAAGGATTAGTAGGGATACCTTCACTTTGTTGTCTCCATCACTACCAAGTGCAGCGGAAAAAGCATGCACAAACCTATGATGATAAAGAAGTTGAGCCGTTTGGACAAAAATTATAGGCATCTCCATCAAAGTAAAAGCTGCCAACCGAACTTGAACATGAGAGTCTTGGAATAACTTCAAAATTCGGAACACAATTTCTTCTAAAAAGTTATCCTTCATAACCTGCACAAATGTATGTATGAGATACAAAGAGGAAGAATCACCACCATCTTTAAGTCAAACTGAACCTTAACTACATTTACACTAAGAGTTTTAAAAGATTAGAAATCAAATCAACCACTATTACAAACACTTCTGTAAAACAATGTTAAGTTGGCATTTAAACCCTAGAAACATGCATAAAATCATATATGTTTTAGTGCAAAAATCTGAGTCACGGACACCATAAACAAGACAACGTCACTCACACGTCGACATCGATAATAATTTTATAAAAAAAGGATAAATAACAAGAGTGATGTTGATTTCAAACACAAATACCGTCAATCTTTTTCAAAGAGGTGTCGGTGCTATATAGGCCAAAACTAGTTACTAGTATAATATTAGTATAATATCGTATTATATACACGGTGAATATTAATGTAATAACAAGAGAGATTATAGTTATGACGAAGTCACCATTTCATCCGAGAAATCTTTGGCAATTTCACTGAGCAGTGTAATTCCTGCGAGTCGCATTTTCCAATCCGTTGAATCCAAGTAATAATTAGTTAACAGTTCATAAACAACACCCACAACTTTGGTTTCTCCAAACGCAACACAAAGCTTCTTCAAACACTTGATTCCAAATTCATACGCACCATCCACCTTTTCCTTCTCCGGATCTTCCATCTTACGATCAGCAGCACAATCAGCACCGTTACCATTACCATCGTCTTTAACATACAGGACCAAAGTCTTCATCGGAACGATAAACAACCTAACCACCATTTCATGCGAAAGACTCGCCATCACCTGCTCGCTTTCCTTCAACTCAGCCATTGCGAGAACCAATTCAAAAGCCAAACGTCGTGTTTCCTCCGTAACACCGCAATTCTCCGCGATCTGAAGCGCGTCGAGAACCATATCACTCATGTAAGGCTTCAACAGAACAGGCTCAGCAGACACAAGCTTAACCAACTCAGCAAAAGCACTTTTGAAATGGCTTCTCTCGAAGCCATGCAAGAGTGCAAACACAGCAACCATCATCGCTCTAAGAACTTCGTGAAAAAGCTGATTATCAGAAAACAAAGAAATCAAGTTCACCACCGCCGCGAATGCCGCAACCTGCACGGTAGGGTTCCGGGAAGTGAGAGAGGCCAGAAAAGATGAATGAAGTAGACGAACACGGCCGTTTAGAGATTTGGCGAGGCTTAAGCGACAGTCATTAGAGAGTGAAGAGAAGACTAGAAGAGAGAATTCTATAAGCTTTTCGTCGTTTGAATTAACGGAGGAGAGAAGAAAATCGATAATCTCGTTCCAGTGTTGTTGAGATTTGTATATAACCGAAACGGTTTGTGAGAGGATGGTTGACGCGAGTCTAAGGACGTGGATTGAAGTCTCTTCGGTGAGATAGTTAATGAAATGGGCCTGAAGACGAGACTGGGCCTGAGGGCGTAACTTGGGCCAAAGTTCAGCGGGTTGGACGGAAAGAAGAGCGCGTGCGGCGTTGGTGCGCGTGGGGATTTCGGGGCTGGAGGTAAGGAGGAAAAAGAGTTTGATCATGAGGAGATCGGGGTGGTGGTGTTTGCAGCATTGGAGGAACGTGAGAGCTTGAGATTGATTTTGGTTTTGTTGAGGATCGTACAGATGAGAGAAGAGAATTTCCATGGCGGTGTCGTCGTTGGAGCTGAGAATCCTGAAGGTTTCGGATTGTAATTCGAGGGGGAATTTAGGTTCCATTGTGGGAACAAGAGTGCAACTGGGTTAAGGGTTTTGGTAGGACTGTAATTCACGCGAGGGAGAGAGAGAGAGAGTTTTCTAGGCTATAACGAAATGAAAGAAAGGAAAAGATTAGATCATAAAAAGAAGAGAGACACGAGGGTATGTATATATATGTGCGGCGGCTGAAAGGGAAGAAACAACAAATAACAGTATACTCTGAACCTCTGAACGCAAGTATGATTCGCTGATGCTAAAAGTGCCTTGCTTTCAGATACTCTTAAATCCAGTCAGAAATCTTTAATTCCATTTAAGTGAAATAAATATGTTCTTTTTTCTTTCAATTTTTTTTTTAATTTTCTTTTGACTTTATTTTACAAAAGGTTTAAATTAGATTTTTTTTTTAAATAAAAATAATATAAATTTTTTTTTTTTTTGGACTTTTCCTATTTTTCTTTGACCCAAAAATATGAATTATACTTTGATTGAATATATATATATATATATATATATATATATATATATATATATATATATATATATATATATATATATATATATATATATATATATATATATATATATATAAAAGAAAAAGGGAAAAACAATGGTACAAAAATTTAGAGTATAAAGAGAACACAGTCAAGCACACCATTAGAAAAAAGCAGGTTCACTCACATATGTGGAACAACGGACCATAAAGAAGGGCAAGCTGAAGGGAGGTAAACACAATTACCTGCGGGAAACAAAAGAAGGGTAGTTGTCCAAACAACACACCTCTACAAATGTAGGCACTATAGAGACTCTTTTTCCCAATCTAGCAAAGAAAAAGTAGAAGACGAAGCATGATATTAAACCTACTTCCAAGACAAATTAGGTTTTTCATATGTTTAATGGCGCAAATTAGGTTTTCAAGTATTGCAGTTAATATATTATTGTTTATGACGCTTAATATTGAATGCCAATAACATAAGACATACAAATATCGTAATCACAAGAATATATTAGATTTCTTACTTTACACACACTATTAACGACTAATATACTATGTATCGTTTTAATGTTTTATAACATTAACATTAATCGTGTATGTTGGTTTAAGTCAATACCAACTACAACACACGATTTATATCCATATTGAACAAGTAAAATTGCATTTTAATTATTAAGTTTTAACCTATAGTTCTTTACTTTTTTTTAATAACTCAAATATATTCTCAATTAAAAAAGATAAAATGGCCAGATCTTTTCTCTACATCGAGTAGATATTGAATTGGCCAAGGAGTAAGGATCAATGAACCACCTGATTAATAGGTGATAATATGACTCAAGGATGAAGAAAAGAAAGTAAAATATCTATCCAAGTTATAATCGCAGGTGACATGTAAGTTTTTTATTGTTGTCATAAATAAGGTTGATAAAACAATTATTTTCTTTTCTTTTCTTTTCTAGTATTCTTACCATAAATTTAAATTACGGTTAATTTCAGAATTTTTTTCATTTAGTTTTCCATTTCGGCCTTTTTAGGTTTTTAATCGCACGATCGAGTCAATAAATATCATGGTCTATCTATTTTGGTGACATGTAGTCATAAGAACATGCACGTTTTCTTGTGGCACATTCAGTTTGGTTTTGAATACCCATTTGATTTCAATAATATGCTTTCATTTTGGTTTGGGTATCAGATTCCATATATCATTTCTGGAGAATTGATTTAATTCTTGTTGCATGACCATAATCCACTCAGAGTCTAGAATAACTTCATTGATGGATGTTGGTTCTATAATAGACACCAGACCTAGAAGTGATTCTTTATCTTGTCTGAATGAAGATCTGGTTCTGACATGTTCAACTTTATCACCCAGAATCAATTCTTTAAGATGTGGTGATCTATGCCTTTATGCTTCTTCAGAGGTGTTGGAGTGTTAGTTGCTTCTGGCTGAGCACGTCCAGAGTCTTGAAGGGTGAGAAAAACACAAGAAATGGTGGTTTTAATTGAGTTTTCTAACTAGCTTATACTTTTAAAAATATTTCACAAACTAACTAGAAAGAATGAGACTAAGAAAAGAATAAAATGACTCGTTTGGTTTATAAAAGTTCACCTTCAACAAAGTTACTTTTGTCCACCCGCCAGTGTAATTTTGCCTTCAACAAGGACTTAATCCACTAATCTCAACAGATTACAAATACACGGGCTACCCGCCGGTGACTAACCATAATCGTCTAAGAGTCTAAACTGGCACATTAGCTCTCTCAAGTCTAAGACTAACAACCTAATTCCTTAAGGCAATAATCAATTCTAAACAGAACTACAATCAATTGTGTTTACAATGTTTGCTTCTAAAAAGCAGATTAACACAACAATGAACAACAAAGTCTCTAATATAAATAATGAGCAGCAACTCTTTGTATTGAGAACTCTAAGATAAAACACAAATAATGAGTAACAACTCTTTGTGTTTAATCCATAATATCTTAACACAATAACAAGCAACAACTCTTGTGTTCTTGATATTTCTCTAGAAGAATATTTATGGATGTATATGAATAGTGATTTTTCTTTTCTCTTGTTGTTTCACTTCAATTTGATTTAAGCTTTATAATGTTGTGTAATTCGTCAATCTTCAAATGTTGATGAGGTCTCTTTATATAGACTTTCAGAATTAGACCGTTTGTAGTACAAAGATGTCGCTTTCACTTTCCAGCTACAGTAACAGTAGCATTTCATCGTGGGAGACAACATAGTACAATATGTAAGCATATAGTAGAATTTTAAACATATTGATTGTACTATATTCTTCGTGGCTAAGATTCTTAAGACCTTATCTTCTAATGATTTACATCTGGCTTGAAGTAGTAAGCTCAAAAGATATCTCTTGATCTTGTCTTTGTCTTCTTTTCTTCTTGTTGGATTGATTTTGATATAATGATAAAAATGATCTAGAAGATGCTTCATTATTGTAGAGTGAGAGTCTTTCAGATAGTTGAATATTGTCTTCAGATATATAAGCAACAACTTATTTGATGAATAATGACTTCTTTGAGTGAAAGCTTTTCTGATCTTGACTTCTGTAATTGATCCTTGATTCTTGATAATCAACTTTTCTGAGTTGCATATCTGATGTCTGATTTATGAAGCAGAAGCTTCTATTAGTACATCTGAATTTGATGTTGAGTTCTTTCTTTCTGATCTCTTGAATTTCGATCTTTGTATTGAGCTGAAAGCAACAACTTATATTAGCTACATTTTAGTGTTTGATCATGAATTCTTTCTCTTGATATTTAATGTTAATTGTCTGAATTATGTGATTAGCATTATGTTTGATAAAACTAATATAGCAGCAATATGTTACATAATATATATTAACTTGCTAACAGGAACAGGTTGAGCAAGAAGTCTTATCTTATGTTGAGACATGTTGAGATGAGAAGTTCTCATAATCTGGAACAACATGTCGTATAAGATGTTCTATGAAGAAGCATACGACATCGCGTCTGAGCTGAACTGATTGTTATATTATGTTAAGTCACAAAAACAGAATGTATTTTAAGGATACTATATTTTCCTATGTGGCGATGTTTTAAAGGTCAAGAAGAATATTGAAGAATATGCACTTTCTAATTATGGAGATAAATTAGGAATATTTGATTGATGACTTATTGTTATGTAGAATCTTCTGCAGAATTGTAATAGCTAATGAGTTGTGATTGAAGGCCCAAATCCAGTTGGGAATAGGTTATAAATAGAAGCTTTGTAACTTAAGAAAGGTACGGGTCGAGAATTTTAAAGATGTAATCATTAGGATCGAGTCTGTAAGCCACTCTCTAGGAGAGTTGGTATGTGTGATCCACTTGACATGTGAGTTGGATTATGTTCCTTGAATTACAAGGTTCTGCTCTCACTCAGAAGCCTGTAGGTAATGAGTTGAGTATTATTCTTAGGGGAAGTCTGTAAGTAAATCCAAGTTGTGTTCTTAGTCAAGAGTCTTAGCTAGTTATATTGTCATGGAAGTGTGTCTTTTGTTTTTCCGTCATGGAAGTGTGTCTTCCTGTTTATTGTCCAATCACTGTCTGTGATTTGTGAGGGATTGAGGAGGGAAGGTGAGTCTTAGATATAAGTATAGCACAGGTAGTGATTAAGTGAGTAGATCGTAAACTGGTATATTTGTTGTAGGGTCTATGAATTAATAATATCATAGTGGACTTGTCCTTAGCTTGGTATGCCCTCAGAGTAGGAAGGTTATTTTTATTTGGGTTAACAACTTATGTGTATTGTTTATTTCTTTTTATTATTGTTTTGTATTTTTACACCTTGCCCGTGTCTTTAAAGTCAGATCAGATGTCTCAACATGTCAAAGGGCATCTAAATTTTGATCTATCAAAATTTCAATTGGTATCAGAGCAGGCGTCCTGTCGGTTTTTGGATGAGATCTGAGGGGGATACTTTCTGGTTTATGAGTAAGGTATAAGGTTTCTATTGAAAAGCTATTTGAACTTGATTAAGTTCATATTGGTGGTTGAGTGGTCCGTAGAAGTGGAGGGTGGATTGTTCATGACAGGGTGTGTTTTGGACATTGTGATCGGTGGATCTGGAACTGACTGTTTAACGCTGGTTCGCGAAATGTCGCGGAAGCAAGAGTCGCCACCGTCTTTTATTTTCTCCAAATGGAAAGGATAAAAGCACAGAAAAATTCCTTAAAGATATTGCTCTCGGTTCGGGAGGTAGATTATAGAAAGGGAAGGTATTAGCACCCTTTCTATCCATGGTTATCCATGGGCTCTTAGATACTTGCTCATTGTGTTTTCAAAAAATGGTTTGTTTGCTTTTCAATGTGGGTTTTAAAAAGTTTCTTTGAAAATTCCAGTTCGACTCTTGTATCAGTCCTCAAGAGTGTTTGAAAAAATGCTTTCGAAAGCTTTTTGAAAAGGTGTCGGTGTGAAAAGTATTTTTTTGAATTTGTTTGAGATTTAGAGCAAGTATCTAGAGTCGTCTACCTACCCTAAGGAATTCGTCTGTGTAG